GTTAAAACCGAATGGCTTCCTCGTTTTCTTAACGGCGGCTTGTTGGTCTAGGGGTATGATTCTCGCTTTGGGTGCGAGAGGTCCCGGGTTCGAATCCCGGACAAGCCCTGAAAGTTTTTTTTTCCATTTTGACTCATTTCCTTTTTCTCAGTATCACCGTTATCTTTTGTTTCGGGAAATGTTTCGAACTCTCGTCCGGCTTGTTGGTCTAGAGGTATGATTCTCGCTTAGGGTGCGAGAGGTCCCGGGTTCAATTCCCGGACAAGCCCAACTTTTCTTTCACGTCCGTGTGTATCTGGCAGCGTTATTTCCATTCGTTTCTTTCTCCTTGTTTCCTGACGACAGGAGTTAACTCGTTTTTAATGCTGTACACCGGCCAGAACGATGTAGCTAATTTTCTGCCGACACAGTGCTGGCTTGTTTGTCTAGCGGTATGATTCTCGCTTCGGGTGCGAGAGGTCCCGGGTTCGATTCCCGGACAAGCCCTATTTTCATCCACGACCCAACATCCAAATGGCTTCCATTTTTTCGTGCGTTGGCGGGAACGTGCACGGCTGAGAATCGCCCGCGAAAAGTCTGTGTTGGCAGATGTACATGTGTGGTATAGGCGACGGCGGCGATCAAACTGACTGGCTTGGAGATTGGCTTTCAACCGAGATATCGTTGTGACGAAAGGAACATTAAAGCTTGTTTGATCAGTTTCTCTTCTCAATCAACTGTCGGCTGACGTCAACTTGAAGGAAAAGGCTGGTTTTCGCATCCAATCAAGCATGTCAAGTGGAAAGCGCAGTGGCTTTTGCGATCGATTCTAATCCGAAATGTTAAAAACCGAATGGCTTCCTCGTTTACTTAACGGCGGCTTGTTGGTCTAGGGGTATGATTCTCGCTTTGGGTGCGAGAGGTCCCGGGTTCGAATCCCGGACAAGCCCTGAAAGTTTTTTTTTCCATTTTGACTCATTTCCTTTCTCTCAGTATCACCGTTATCTTTTGTTTCGGGAAATGTTTTTGAACTCTCGTCCGGCTTGTTGGTCTAGAGGTATGATTCTCGCTTAGGGTGCGAGAGGTCCCGGGTTCAATTCCCGGACAAGCCCAACTTTTCTTTCACGTCCGTGTGTATCTGGCAGCGTTATTTCCATTCGTTTCTTTCTCCTTGTTTCCTGACGACAGGAGTTAATGACTTCCGGTTTGATGAAAATAGGAGTAAGACGTGAAATGGTATTGCTCTGATTAATCGCCTAACATCGAGTTTTGTGTGGATATTTTTTTGTAAATGATTACTGTAAGTAATTAACAAACACTTTTGTGACATTGTTCGATTTGAAATTTGTTTATAAGTGGACTGATTTAACATTTTTGGGGCCTTTGGCCCGGCTGGTGTTTAGCCAGTAAATCCGACATGGCGTCCGGTGTGTCGTCTGCCACAACAAACCTATTAATTAAAGACAATACGGTAAAGGTTATACTTTCTGACAATGTAAAACTGCTTGCTGCTGACGTTATAAAATTAGTTGAAGATAAACTTGGTGACGATAGCGTTCTTGCTATTGTTCCTTGTAATGGATCATATGATGTTACCGTCGTCAATAATAAATTAGCTAGTGTTATAGCACGAGATGGTTTGCTCCATGGCTCTGAAGGTCTTCATTGTAAATTGATAGATTCCAGAGTAAAAGTTGTGTCTTTCATGCATATCCCTGTTTATGTTTCCGACAAGGATATTGAAGTCAAATTGAAATCTTGNGGTGTGACCTCATGTGGTCCTATAATCAGAAAAACTAAGGACTATGATGGTAAAAAGAAGTATGATGGTACGAGGTTTGTAAAGGTGGAATTCCCCCCCACCGTCTGTAGTTT